TGGTGCAGAGTGAAGTAAGGAGAGAATGTAAGAGCAGAGCTACTAGGAATGAGCAGAGCGGAGTCCACATCACCAGCTCGGCACTCTAGTTTTTTCTATCCTTTTCCAAGTTTGAACTGCAAGCTAGTCTTTGCAGAATATGTTAAGTGCAAAGAGAGCAGCTCCCCCTTCCCCTCAGCTCCTCCTCCCTTCGTTTCCACAGCCTTGTCTGTGGGCTCAGGAAGCAGGTACCTGCCCTCCTGTTTACTCTCTGGCACTTGTTCCTGGGTCTGGTCCCCTTAAGGTCAGGGCAGATGATATAAGCTGGCTGGTGCAATGATCTCCATTTTTCCCCCCCTGGCTAAAGATTTCCTTTGACCCAGTTCTCAAAGGGCCCCGAGGCGAAGGAGTTTGCCCACAGCTTCCTGGATTCCTGTGTTATCAGCAGGATAGTGGAGAGGAGTCAATAGGTGTCCATGGAGGCTAGGTCGCCCTCAGGTGCTGGCTGGTACTTCCTGGGGTTCCTGGCTGGGCTGGGTCATGTATGTGTGTGACGGGAGCCCCACCATTCTGTACTGCCTATGGTAATGCTGAATGAGAGTCAGAAGAATGCTCAGGATGTGGAACTCACGTCCGCAAACCCTACCTGACTCTGCAAACAGTGGTTAGAGCCCTAAAATGCACAAGAGGTCTGGGAGCTGTGTAGTGGGACGGGGTGAAGCAAGAAGCTGGGGCCCACTAATTCGTGCCTGGCTCTTCTGGGTTTGAGTGAGAAGTAAAACAAGGATTTGGCAGCTGGCCTGGGACCTGCTGCCTGATAGCTTTGTGATCCCAAGAGTCAACAACTCCTTAGCAAGTTTACCTGGAGGGTCTCTGGAGAGATAAGGGGTCAAGTGCTCCGGCCCTCAATCCATTTTCTCCATCAGTTCTGGTCAAATCCACCTAGGGAGGAAGAGGTTGCTCTCTGGATATCCTCCAGGCTCAGATGTTGACTTTGTCTCTGAGTGTGAAATTAGTTTATGATTAACTGGAGGGGGGGGAAAGCACCTCAAGTGGCAGTGTTTTAAATAAGATCGATGTTTATTTCTCTCTCTCATGAACAGTCTGGTGGTATTCAGGTTTGTTATAATGGCTCCATGACCAAACAAGGATACAGGTTTTTCTATCTTACTGTGTCAACCATTTCTAACACGGCCTCTACTGCATGGTGTTACATGGCTGCCAGAGATCCAGCCATCACATCAGCATTGCAGCTGGCAGGAAAAGGCAGGGAGGAAGTTTCCCCCTCTCTCCTGAAAGTAACATTTGAGAAGTCATATGGAATACTTCCTTGTATATCCTATTGGATACAGTTTGGTGATACAACTGCACTTAGCCAGAAGGGAGAATGCAAAATAGTCTTTAGTCCCCACTGCCATAATGGAGAAGAAAGAACAAATGTTGGAGCATAACTAGCTGTCTTTGTGACAGTCTGCAGGCTGAGTAGAGTTCTGGATGTGGATGATTTCTGCAGGCTACTCTGCATGGCCATCTGGTGATGGGCAGTGGAGCTCTCGTTCCCTGTCTGCGCCCTGCCTCCTGCTTGAGCGCTTGAGGTTCTCCTTGGAGTTGTAGCAGTAGCAGGAACATGCCTCCCCTGGGGTCTCTATTAGGGAGAGCATCAGTTGGATGATCAAGGCCAGCCACGCCATCCCAAACAGGATCCACCAGGACACAAGGTTCTTGTACCACACCGGGTACTTCCGGGAGGGGTCCATGCCTAGGAAAGAGGCAAGAAGAGGCTAGAGGACCGTATGCTCAAGACAGAAACAGGACTCATGGCCTGGTGTGTGTGAGCAAGTGAAGGGGTTGATGGGACAGAATTTGGCAGATCTGGAATTCCTAGTGTGGTGGTCACCCCTGTTGTTCTTGTTAGGTGCCATCAAGTCATCTCCAACTCATAGTGACTCTGTGAACAAAAAGACCTGAACTTTGCCGTTTTCTGAACCAATCTCATAATTTCTGATATGTTTGAGCTCATTTACAGTCACTATGCCAATCCATTCTGCTGAGGGTCTTTCTCTTCTTCTCTGACCTTCCACCTTTCCCAGCATGAGATCTTTTTCCAAGAACTGGCTTCTCCTGACAACATGAGATGAAGTTACACCATCTTTGCAGCACCCTGGTTGCACTTCCTCTGAGAAACCTCTGTGGGTTGAAACTCTGGACTTGGAAACTGGATTTCATCTTTGTCCTTCTGGTGGACTCTGTGTGTGCTCTGTCTTCAAGTGTGGTCCCTGACCAGCAAAATCAGCACCCCCCGGGGGTCTTTAGAGATGCATCTCGTCAGTCCCCACCATCACAGCTCTGGAGTAGAGGGACAACAATGTTTGAACCCAATCACCTGGAGATTCAGATACCCGCTCTGTCATTCACTAGACTCTGGGTTTGGTTTCTTCTTGGTTGAAGGGGGTAGTTTGCCAGAACCAGGGGCTGTTGGAAAAATGATTTGTGTCTGCCAGAGTTTGTATCCTGCTGATTGTTTTTAGCATGTGGCCCCATCTTTCAGAATGTTGTTCACCTGGAAAAAAGGGACAATAATTTCTCCCCTTTGCCTGCAAGAGGAACTCTCAAATCCAACTTTAAGCCTCAGTCTTCTTTTCCAACCTTAATTTGCACAGTTGAGTATTAGAGAGCTCTGGTGGCTTAGTGGTAAGGAGGTGTGCTGCCAACCCAAAGTCAGGCAGTTCAAATCTATGAGCTGTTTCTTGGTAGAAAGGTGGGCAGTCTCCTCCTGGGCAATTTACAGCTTCTGAAAACCCACTAGAGAGTCAGCTAGGACTCACTTCTGACTCAAAGGCACACAACCAAAAACAAACTTGGAATGCTTTGCTCATAATGCTGTTCTTAGTCCCATGTATTACCCTTCTGTCCACCCCAGGACAGCCTCCCTGATCTGTCCCACATGGCTGGGCCCATTCAGGTCTCTCTTTTGGACCGCAGTTATGAGTTGAGCCCTGAGATGATGTTGGCAGGCTGCAGGAGCGTGATTGGATTAGGCTGATTGGGTTACAGAGCCCTGGTTCCGCCAGCCGTCCCAAATGAGATCAGCAGTGAGCTGGCTTGACTTGCTCCTGGTAACAAAGAGGAGGTGGTGTTCTTCTCCACTTTGATTTCATTTTTTTTTTTAAGCCAAAATCATAAGTGGCAAGAGACCTGGCAGCTGGCAAGGCGCTCAGTCGAGCTGCAAATGCAATTGGGGGACACAGGAACTCTAGGGCCAGGGAGGAGCAGGCGGCTGGGACCTGGGGCCGCTCGGGCCACAGCCTTCACATGAAGGATCAATGGTGACGATGCTGTGACTGCTGACCCGGACAAGGGAGGCAGGGATCATCTGAGGAAAGGAGACAAGCGGAGAGGCACGAGGAAGAGGGCGAGGGAGGGTTTGCCCCTTCTCAGCTCGTAGATTTTCAGTCTCTGAAACCTGATAGAGGGCTCCTATGAGTTGGACTTGACACAACAGCAGTGGGTTTTGAGTTTAAAGTGTAAGCTCAAGGAATATTAAGTGGTATTATTAGGAGGGGTCAGTCCCTGGGAAAAGAAATCATGCTGCTAAAGGTGGAGAGTCAGAGAAAGAGAAGACCCTCATGGCAAGATGAATTGAACAGAGACCACAACAATGGGCCCAGTGTGTCAGAGATGAGGACGGCGGCACAGGACAGGGCAAGGTTCAGAGCCGCTCTTCATGTTGTGTTTGTTTGTTGTCAACTCGATGGCACCTGACAACAACAATTGCAGTGTTCTGCAGTTAAGCAAAAGGTTGGCAGTTCGAACCCACCCATCCAATCTGTGGGAGAAAGGCCTGATGATCTAAAGATTGTTGTTGTTAAGTGCCATCAAGTTGAGTACGACTCATAGTGACTCGAGGACCAACAGATCTGAACCCCGTCCTATCCTGGGCCTTCCCCACACTTCCTGACCCACTAGAGCCCATTGTGGCAGTCACTGCATCAGTCCACTGGTCGAGGGTCTTTCTCTTCCTTGCTGGCCTTCTACCTTTCTGAGCCTCACGTCCTTCAAGGAATAGCCCCTCCTACCAACATGCCTGAAGTATTTGAGGCAAAGCTTCACCATTTTTGCCTCCAAAGAGCACTCTAGCTGCACCCACTCCAAGCCATATCTGTTCGTTCTCCTAGCCATCCATGGGATTTTCAGCACTTTTCTCTAACACCACGGCTCAAAGGTGTCAATTCTTGTTCTTTTATCCTTACTCCTCATCCAGCTCTCAAATGTATAGCAAGTGATCAGAGAAATCATGGCCTGAATCAGATGCACCTTACTCCTCAAACTGACATTACTTCTCAATAATTTGAAGAGGTCCCTAACTGCAGACTTTCCCAGTGCAATATATCGCTTGATTCTTGACTGCTGGTACCAAGAGTGTTAACTGCAGATCCAAGTAAGATGAAGTTATTGACAGTTTCAGTCTTTTCCCCATCTATCATGATGTTACCTATCGGTCCAGTGGTTTTCTTCGCATTGAGGTGCAATTCATATTGAAGCTTGTATTCTTTGATCTTCTGCAACAAGTGCTTCAAGTCCTCCTCACTTTCAGCAAGCAAAATTGTGTCATCTACATAACACAGGTTATTGATGCATCTCACTCCAATCCTGATGCCATATTCCTCTTTATAGATTCCAGCTTCTCTAATAATTTGCTCAGCATATGGACTGACTGGGTACGAAGAGAGGTTACAACCCTGACAGAATCCCTTCTTAACCTTAAACCACACAGTGTTTCCTTGCTCTGTTCACATAACAACCTCCTGGCCTAGGTATAGATTTTGCATACACACAATGAAGTGCTTTGGGACTCCCATTCTTCTCAATATCAGCCACAACTAGTTGTGATCCACACAATCAAATACCTTTGCATGGTCAATAAAGCACAAACAGACATTCTGGTATTCTTTACTCTCAGCCAGGATCCATCTGACATCAGCAACGATATCCTTGGTAATCTAACAATTGCAGCACAAGAGACCCTGTGGACAGGCCTGGTCCCTCATAGGGGTCACTGTGAGGTAGAATAAGCAACAACAAAATAAGGCAACACGGAAGGGAGGGAGTGAGAAGAAGGCGAGCACAGTTCACAGCGTGCCCTCATGGACCTCCTTACAGTTTACAACATCTACCCTGAAACTATGGGAAAACTCTGAAGGCTTTCCAGACAGGGGAGCTGGTGATCTGCTGGCACTTGCAGTTTTTAGAGGTCACAGAGGCAAAGAGGGAGAAGGAAGAGCCTGTCCTACTCCAGGCGCCATTCTTGTGGTCTATCTGAACGGCACGCTTTAGGGTTGTGCTGTACACAACCTGAGCAGCTGTGCACAGGGGGCCTGCCTGCCTAGACTAGGGGACAGCAGTAGACATAGATGGCACACCCAGCAATCATTCTCTGAGCTGTACACTGGGGGACTGCCTGCCTAGACTAAGGGAACAGCAGTAGACATAGAGGGTGCACCCAGCAATCATTCTCTGAGCTGTGAGGGGGTGGATATGACCCTTGGGATCAGCTCTCCTGAGACACTTCCCCACTCTGAGGGCAGAGATGGGAGTGACTTAGTCTCTTGGGAATAGGGTGGGAGAGATCACAAAGGGACAGCAGGAGGCTGTTTGTTGGGCATCCTCTTCCTCAGGAGAAGGGGGTCCTGCACATACAGGAGACACCAATTGACATCTTAATGATCATTTAGCAGCCTCCACGTTTTACTAACTGTGACACTAAGAGAAGGGGATACAGAGGGACGTGGCTTGAAAAGAATGCGATTTTTGGAGCCTTGTATCAGATAGGAATTCCTATCTCACTAGCGTGCTTGGCCATCCTGAGCTCTAACTTCCTCATTGAAGATTAGTCATTCGTCTGATGGGTTGGTTAGTCATTTGTTAATATCTGACTTTCCTTCCCTTCTCATGTCACTGAGTCTCTGGGGGAACTTCATTTCATTCTTCCAGGCTGAGTCTGTCGTCAAAGGAGAGAAGGACAAGGCCCCCCTGCTACTTTAGGGTCACAGGATCAGAGGGAGGACACAGAGGCCAGCCCCCACTGCTCAGCTTTTCACTGTAGTGGGTGAACCTCTTGGGGGCAAGAAGAAGTGGGAATGACCATGAGCTGGTTCTCAGACATTTTCAGCCATGTGTTTACAGTTCCTGCCTTCTGGGCATGGCTCCCAGCCTCCATCCTTGTCCCTGTGTCCCCCCCCCCCCCCCCGCGTGGGGGGGGGGGGGGGGGGGGCAGGGCGGGGAGGGGTGTCTGGG